ACAGGCATACTACAAACTTTCAGATTATATTGAGGATAAGAATGCCTGGCAGCATGTTGGTTCGGCTCCACTGGACAATTCTCAAATATGTAGTCAGTAGTTATTAAAATTCTCAAAATTAATGAAACCTTGAATGAGTTTATATAGAAGCATTCTTTTGGATTGTGAGTACGCATATGTGAGCGCCATGTACGAGACAACAAAGGATTAAAATTTTAATGATAGATTAAATGGACCATAATTTGTTCCTTTTTATTAACAACTTGTCTCTGCATTGTTCTCACATAGGGGTACAGTAATGTATAAAAAATGTATTATTGATGAATTGTAAAACAAATTTTTTTTTAAAAGAGTAACGATGGAGTTTCTTGCTCGTTCTTCTCCATTCGAAACTACAATTTGGAACGAGCACCTAGCTTCACTGACGAACAGACTGACAGACTACTATTCTATTTTGACGTTTCAAAAGTACCTATTTATGGTTTATTTGGAATAAATGATTTTGATTTGATTTGATTTGATTAGTTTAGGCGTAAAGAAAAGACAGAGTTACTTTCGCATTTATAATATTAGTTTGGATTGTGTTTCGAATTAATACGATTGGAAGGTTAAATTAATACTACACGTGGCCACCCATCCACGAGGCGTCCGCGGTAAGCATGTTACACAATGATAGATTGTGTCACGCGTTCCCTGACGAACAGACAGACAGACACACACGCGCTCATTGCGTATAACTTATAGTTAATAATAAATCTGTTTTAATTAATTACTTTTAATCAATTTATTGTCTTGTGGACATATTATCGTTCGGATCCGAAACCTCGCAAGCTTTGGTATGGTACTAGTGTGACTTTTCCCGAGTTACATGTACTTTCTATGATTATTTAGACACCACTGACATACGGTGAAGGTAAACATCGTGAGGTAACTGACTTTAATTTTTGATTATAAGTTTCTAATCGCGAATCCAGCTTTAGCAAGCTTGGTGACTAATGTTATTCCTCCTTCGTATGAGAAGAGGACTTTCTTCAGCAGTGGGCACTTATAGGCTGATGATGATGATGATGATTTGTGATATTTAGTGTTCGGTTGTCACCAATGTACGATTCTGACACTCAGAAGACGACATGAATGGGCAGGCCCGACCGTAGTGATACCACGGCCGCAAAAACAACCGGCGTGATGCAATACGTTGTGTTTCTCACTCACAAGTGAGGTTACCGGAGGCCCAATTCTTCGCCGCGTCCTCTCGATCTTAATCTTCAAATCCCCTATCCTTAAATCCTTAATAACTCACAAGAGTCAGGCAACACGATTTTGGTAACCCGGTCAGCGCTGATTGCTTACCATCAGGTAATCTGTCTGCTCGTTTGCCGACCTATGAAATATAAAAAAAAATTGGTTGAAAAAAATCTCCCTAAAAAAATTTTCTTATAGAAAGAAAAGTGATGACAGGAGCTTAAAAAATATGACCTTGACTATTGTATTACATAGTTGAAATCAATTATCCGCCTCCAGTTTTATCATCAGAACTGCTAAGGAGTAGGATTCTCTAGTGGAGTCCGTGTTGCCCGAAGAGTGTCTTCAAGGCCCGAGTGAATAGGTTGCTTATGGGTAGGCGTGCTCCATCGTAGGTCGCATCACCGCTTACCACCAGGCGCGATAGCGCCATAGCCAAATGCAAGCCCTATAATGACTAAGGGCTGATTTTTCAGTGGTTAGATAAAAGTTACCTGGGGAATAATTATGATGCTGTCACGTCAGAATGTTTGTATAAGACAGTGACAGCAACAATTTTGTATTCCTCAGATAACATTTATCTGTGTATTGGAAAATCAGCCCTAAATAAACAAAAGAAGAAAGAGAATTGCCACGCATAACAAACTCTTAACAAAAGCATTACATCAGAATACTACACGTGGTATACGTAATCTATTGTGTCTAAATAAATATAACCCACGTGTACCAACACACGCACTTTCAAACTATTAGCACTTGGAATCCTGCCCACCCTCAGAGCTCCTTACGTCGTAAGCTTTCACTACAGAACTAAAATAACACCAGAAAGCGCCAGATGGTCTGATCAGTTTTATATTATACTAGCTAGTCAGCGGCTTCGCTCGCAGTACCAGAATAAAAACTGTTAAAAGTGATTTATCCCAGAAAAAATTACAATAATCCATTAATACTTACAAATTTTAGCGTTTATAATATGAGTCTGTTAAAACCACCTATAATAAAAGATCCTACACTTTTGATCATCATTAAAAGTGTGCTATGCTGAGCAAAGACATCTTCTCACAAGGAGAAGGTTTCAGCATTAATCACCACGCTTGCTTAAGATCGATTAGCGATTTTAAGCTAACATTTATTTCGAAATTATAAGTCCTGGTTTCCCCACGATGTTTACCTTCACCGTTTGCCAATGATGTCTAAATAAACTTAGGAATTACATATAACTCGGAATAAATCCCTTGATTGGTACTTGCAAGGTTACAAAACTGTGCCCTTAAGCTTGGGGGAAATTCACATTAGTTCAAAACACGTGAAATAATAATTACATAGTCTAGTATTACGTTACCACTTACGCAGTATTTAGCACCATAACAAAACTGTACGTTGTTGGCAATGACTTTGATACATTAATCAATGCATGTTGACTGCTAATAAATAATTTTAATACAAATAAACAGCTTCTAATCAATCAGTGTGTAAAAAACTCTTCCGTTATCGGTGACTGACACACTCAGTCAGTGTACATATAACTCGGAAAAAGTCATATTGGTACTTGCCATGTTTCGAACCCACAACCTCATGCATGAGAAGCGGGCTCCTTAACCTCCGGGTCACCACGACATAATATGTACCTATAGTCAAATTCAATACTTTTTTATCCAAATGTCAAAAACTTGTACTTATCTAAGAAATTTGTATGAAACTCCAAACAATGACGTCTCATAGCTAGTAGATTAATTATTTCTTTATTAAAAAAATATCGAAAATTTAGTGCTTCAACAGATCCGTCAATAAAAGTACAGTTATTTTTCATTAAATATTTTATTGTACCTACCTATTGAATATATAATCATTAATTATTGTTGACCTAGACTAGAAAACTACCCAATTGACAGTCTTATCGTCGAAAAGCAATTTTTTCGACACAACTTTTGGATGGAGTTTTTCTGAAGAAGAATTTAATAAAAGTGCATTGATCGCATTATAAAATATAAGTTTTATGCGTATAAGAATTTTTGGCAACGTCTTTAGTATTTGTATGTTTTTTATTAATGATAGTGACATTTTGTTTTGATAGTAACGTCGCATGAATATCGTTTAAGAATGGAATCAATTGATTTTATACTCAGTCGTGTTTAGTTTGCCGTTGAGAGAACATCTCTCTTAAGAAAGTCATATAGTAATATTGTTGCCAAAAACATATCTGGACTTTGATATTTGTGTGTTTGGAATAGATAGTTACACTAATATATATTTTAGTGCTGTGTTTTCGTGTCTTAGTGAGAATTTTGTGTACAGTGAATCGGTCTATTTTTATTTAAATTTGACAGAATCTTTGGAAGATTTCAACAAACATGCCTACTTTTATAAGTGAGTCAAATTTTTCGTTGCTTTTTTTCTTTAGGGAATTTTTCTTTTGTTTTATTTTATACTCGTTTCTGGCCGCTGTTACTGAACTTTTTTGTTTCTATTTCCAAAACATATTAAATCTTATATGTTATCCAATTTTTTAGCTATATGATAGAAAAAGTTTTCTTCATATTCGTCCATTAGTTTCGGAGATTAGCGAGACAAATTTAGAAATGGATTTTTTTTATTGTTTCTTTATTATTGTTTACTTACCACTTCTTTTTAAATTAAATTTTCTTTTTTTTTATTATAAATACAGCATCGACATTGTTATTTGTAGCTGTCCGCGAACAATGTTCATATGTTGTTCTCATCGAGTTTCTGAATTATTTTTAGATTAAAAGTTAGTGTTATGAATTTCCTTAAATTGGATGATAGGGAAATCGAAATACTGAGATTTTTGTATGTTTAATACGATTTGTGTCGCTAACCTTTATTAGGGGGAAAGATAGTTCGTACATATTTATAAATGTATACTGACTTAGAAACTTTTTCGCTTTTTTGCTACGGGCCGTTACTACGGTACTACGGCGTAGGCTCCTGCTACGACCTAGCACTTCGTAAAACTCGTCAATATAATTTATTCCAACTAAACCATAAATAAATACTTTTGAAACGTCAAAATAGAATAGTAGTCTGTCAGTCTTTTCGTCAGTGAAGCTAGGTGCTCATTCCAAATTGTAGATTCGAATGGAGAAGAACGAGCAAGAAACTTCTTCCGATTAATCTGTATTGAAAAAAGCTTAGTTATATAAATTGGCTTACATGGAAATTATAACATAACAGTTGCACGTCGATTCTATAAAATTTGTTTTGAATCTTGTTCGAGTGTGAAATTAGCGTCAAAGTGACGTGGAAATTACATTATAGAATGCCACTTTTAACGTCATCTCATACTTTATCTATCAAAATGTTGCGGTCAATTTAGTTCAACTCGCAAGTGTAGCGCTAGTGTACTACTACTCACAGCGGATTCAGATTCGAAGTTTAGAATGAAGTCTTAGACAGAATCACATTGCTAGTAATATTACGTTAAATACATTTAAAATTTAATATGGTCACTTTTCCATAGAAAATAAAGTCGTAACGTTAATTTTTATTTTATGTAATTGGTCGCCAAACGAGCAGACGAATTACCTGATTGTAAGCAATCAGCGCCGCCCATGGACACCCGCAACGGAGGAATTACGAGTGCATTGCCGACCTTTATTTGGAGATTTAGGGATTGAGGAGGGATTGGTGGAGGAGAAGGATGAGGCCTCCAGTAACCCCACTCACACGTACACACGTCACTCAACTCACACTCACACGATATTTCTTCAGTGTTTTCAAGATTTTATTCTTTGTTTCAGTGACGATGCCGTCAGAAGTGGCTCTGGGTAAATCGTTGCAGCGCGAGCTGGCGGACTCCATCATCAGGATGGTGCCTCTAGACGAGATCCGGATACTCCTGGCTTGTGGAGCCAAGGTGAGGGCTGAGGGTCTACAAGTAGTATTTTGTGACACTGGTATTTTCCACGTGGGTTTTGATACGATAGGCAAATATACGTGAAGTCATACGTTACCCGAAGGTTGATGGTAAGCAATCTGTGCCGCCCATAGACGAAGCCGATTGCTTACCATGATCATGACACAGACCACCCATTCGCAACACACTGTGATTGTATTCGAGAAGTTACTGGAGGCCCCAATAAATTGACGGTAGCACACCTGTGGCGTAGTGTTGCGGATATCCATGAGAGGCGCTGATTGCTTACCATCAAGTAATCCGTTTGCTCATAATAAATAAAAAAAATCAAAATAAACGAACAGTCTTATCGCTTGATTAAAAGCAATGATTGTCATCCACCACAAAGTCACAAATGAGTTGACAGCCTTTTAAAAAAGACCAGACCTCACGTGGATTTCGATTTTACACTTTTTCAAGACATTTTTAAAAAGAATTCTAAGTATGAACCTTTTCTGGATTTACACAAATAATTCAAGATCAAAATAAGCCAAATCGGTAATGGCATTGTTGAGTTATAACATTACAACGAAAAGTGGCATTGATTATTATTATAGATAGATTAATTAGGTCTTCGGGCCTCTCATCCTGAAAGAGGAAATGCAAAAGACCTTTTAAAATATAGTCCATTCGTCATGTTTTTGCAGGTCAACGAGCCGGTGACGCAAGGTCTTCGCCCCCTTCACTACGCGATCTGGCAGCGCTACCTGGAGGCGACCCGGCTGCTGGTGGTGCGAGGGTGTGATGTCAACGCCAGAGACGACTGCGGGTACAGCGCGTTACATCTTGCTGCTGAACATGGGTGAGTTCCTCTTCTTCTTCTTCGTAGTCTTCTTTCTATTTCTTACCAGCTTTTATTAATCTACGCTCATATTATAAACAGGTAAAATTTGTAAGTTTGTATGTAGAAGTTTAAGAAGTTTAAGTGTGGGAGAGCCATGCTTCGGCACGAATGGGTCGGCTCGACCGGAGTGATACCACGGCCTCACAGAAAACCGGCGTGAAACAACCACAGCGTTGTGTTTCGCCGTGTGAGTGAGGTTACCGGAGGCCCAATCCTTCCCCTTCCCGGACCCTTCCCCAATCCCTAAATCTCCAAATCCCTTAATTCCTAAAGGTGGGCAACGCACTCGTAACTCCTCCGTTGCGGGTGTCCATGGGCGGGGTTGATTGCTTACCATCAGGTAATCCATCTGCTCGTTTGCCGACTTATTACATAAAAAAAAAGTAGTGGGTAATCTTTGGAACCGCTGGTCGGATTTCCAAAATTCTTTCACTGATAGATAGCAACAATGTTCCTGCGTGCTAGGCTATAAATTATACTTGCATTTTTACATTACAGGTACACAGAGCTGGTGAAGTTGCTACTAGAGAGCGGAGCGGCAGTAGACTACAGGCCAAATACTGGCGAAGAGTTTCCGAGAACCACTCTCTGCGACGAACCATTGAGGCTGGCAATTAGAAATAAACATTACGTAAGTTTTGGTTTTTAAGGAACTTAGAGTAAAATTCCCTAAGATCGGAGAAGGAGGATCCTCTGAGCAGGCGAGGTGATCAACCTGGCAGGGTACGGTATACTGCCCAGCAGTTGTCGTCGTGGTCATCTCACCGTCCCCAACTGGATGGATCCAGGGTGGCTCGCTTTCTGCGACTACAGGCGAAGTCGTTAGAGTAGTCGGGCCTCTTGCTGGGCCCGATGTGGTCGTCATCTGTGATTGGCGCCGAAGCTTCGAAGGACTGCATTAGGAGATTGGAATCTCTACACCTCTGCTTCCGTATTTGTTTTCCTATTTACTGTTTGTGTGATAAGCATTAAAATAAATATCATAATAAACTTAATTGATATCACAATCTTCTCTCATCTTCTTTACAGGAGGTGGCCCGTCTTCTACTCGAACATGGTGCAGATCCCAACAAGCGTTACTTCTTTGGAGCGGAGATCAACTTGGTATCTGATCCTGAATACTTGGAGTTACTGCTGACGTTCGGAGCCAATCCTGATTCTAGAGACAGAGCTGGTTTGACGCCGCTTATGAAGGCTGCTAGGCAGAGAAAGGTGAGATACCTTAAGAATGGTTTTTCTGAACGAATCACGGGACGGGGGGAAGTAATATGATGATTATCCCCCTCATCATCATCATCAGCCTGATGTCGTCCACTGCTGGACAAAGGCATCTCCAATTGCACGCCACTGAGCTCGATGTTCAGCTCTTCTCATCCAACCACTGCCAGCCACCCTGCGGATGTCGTCAGTGCACCTAGCTGGAGGGCGCCCTACACTACGTTTGCCTAGACGTGGTCTCCATTCCCGACCCCGTTTACCCCAACGGTTATCGGTTCTCCGACAGATGCGACCTGCCCACTGCCACTTCAGTTTATTAATCCTTTGGGCTATGCCGATATCTTCCGTTCTCTGTCGGATTACCTCGTTTCGAATACGATCATTCAGAGAGACTCCAAGCATAGCCGTTCCAATAGCTCCCTACGCGGAAAAAGAAAAAAAAATGTTTTTTGAGCTGCGGTGCTTTTACCGAAGCCCGTCACCTTCCACTTGGATCTGGTCGGGCGTCGAGTAACACATTTATATTTGTGGTGAGAAGTGTATTTTATTTTGAGAGGTCTTTGCTCAGCAGTGGTCACTTATAGGCTGATGATACATGATCCAGTTTATTTTATTCTGCCGCGTGCTCTAATACACGGCTTATCAACGTAATTGAGTTTTAAGTTTTTTTAGTTAATCTTGCGTGGTTTCACCCGCTGCTCGGCTCCTACAAATCGTAGCGTGATGTTTAATAGCCTACAGACTTCCTCGATAACAGGGCTACCGAACACAAAAATAAATATTCAATTCAAAGCAGTAGTTCCGGATATTAGCGCACTGAAACAAATAAAAAAACTCAGTTTTATAATATTAGTAGGATAGAAAGAAAGAATGAAGACATTCCTTTCCTCTTTCTTTCTCTCTATATTGAAATGCCATTCTCCTTATTTTCCAGGGTTTGGACGCTGTGCTCCTGCTCATCAGTTTCGGAGCTGATGTGAACGCGATGGCTGACGCGAGGAACGACTACAGGACTGTCATGCATTATGCTGTACTTAGTGGTAAGGGTTTACCTAGACATGCACATATACCGGAGGCCCAATCTCTCCCCTCCCCCAATCCCTAAATCTCCAAATCCCTAATCCCGAAAAGGTCGGCAACTCTCGTAACTCCTCTGTGGCGGGTGTCCATAGGCGGCGCTGCGATATTACCTGATGGAACGCAATGTTCCATCAGGTAATCCGGCTGCTCGCTTGCCGGCCTACTACTAAAAAACTATTTTTCCTCCGGGAATTATTGAACCACAAAAAAGCTTGTTTTTAAAAAGAAGTACAATTCAGATTTTCTTTAAATACCAGTAATTACAGATATATCAAAATTACTGTGCAAAATAAAACCAATGAGTATAGAAAAACAGTTTCTTTGGTAAAATTGTTTGTTATAATGAGTACAACAATCACGTTTTTAAATATCGGTCATTAATTACCATTCACCCTATATCTATACTAATGTTATAAAGAGGTAAAATTAGTAAGTTTGTATGTAGGAAGTAATCTTTGAAACCGCTGGTCGGATTGCCAAAATTCTTTCACTGATACATAGCTACAATATTCCTGAGTGCTATAAAACATCACGCTACAATCAAATGGAGCCGAGCAGCGAGTGAAACCGTGCGAGAGTAGCTAGTAATTGGTTAGTAAAGGTAGTAATATGTTTTTGATCGTGAATGTATGACCATAGATTCATTTACCTTCTTCCAGGTAATCCAGAAGTAGTGAATCTGATGATAAAGCAAGGTGCTCGCGTCAACTACGAGTGCAACGAATTTAGCAAACCTAGCCCTTTGGACCTCGCGATATTGAAGGGAGATGTCACCATGTTGCAAATGCTTTTAGCTGCTGGTAAGTTTAATACTACTTATTTAATTTTTGGTCATGGTTGAGTTCTTTTAACTGTAATAAGTACTTAGTAATACTAAACTAGTATTTCACAATTTCTGTAGTTTGGTTACCTACTACAAAAACGATTTGCTAGCCACAATTAAGTGTGGGAGAGCCATGCTTCAGCACAAATGGGTCGGCTCGACCGGAGTGATACCAGCGGAGCCACAGCGTTTTGTTTCGCCGTGTGAGTGAGGTTATCGGAGGCCTGAACAATTTAATAAATGCTATATTTATTTAAACTTTAATGTACACAAAACAAGTGATGGTACATAAGGCGGACTTTAATGCCATATGGCATTCCGTCCCAGTCAACCTTAGGGTTAAATAGGAAATCGGCGAAAATATAGGCATGTGTAATTATTATAAGGAATAAATAACATACATAGACTTTACAAATATAGATACTCGAAATATTTACTACTAAATACAACCTAAATATGTTAATATGCATAATATATACTACATAAATAATTTCTGCAACAATACATATACATTATACATACTATTATATAATAGATAAAGACCGAGACTCAGCGTTGTAGTGACTTTAAGTAGAATTCATAAACATAGCGTTTGAAAGTGATTTTATTTGGAGCCTTTTTTATATTAAGCGGTAGTGCATTCCACAACTTAATAACATAGACTGTGAAGGAGTTAGAAATGAAGGATGTTCGGTGGGATGGAATCTCAAGAATCAGATTTTCGGCTGAACGGAGATTACGGCTGTGAGAACTCCCCAGAAACTGGAAACAAGACTTTAGGTATTCAGGACCACAAGGATCGTTCAGAATAGAGAAGAGCATGCAGAGAGATCTGAGAGATCTCCTCTCACGGATAGGAAGCCATTTAAGTTGAGCGCGAAAGGAAGAAATGTGATCGTATTTACGAAGACCGAAGATAAACCGAATACAGTTGTTGAGCATTCGGTCTAACTTATTCAGAAGGTCTTGGGATAGGTCAGAGTAATTTCTATACTAGTTTCTTTGTTAATTTGGACGCACTAATGTCCGTAACTACGAGTCTGAACTGAATAATCCTTATTGTTGAAGACAGTTCATTAATTGAGGAAGACTGTTGGCCATAAATCATCAAGCAAAGGCCGAGCTCAGGGCAATATAGGTACCCTTTTTTTGTGAGGAGAAAATCATCAAATGACTTCTCCCGCCCAGGGTTGGGCAGGAGGGAGTGTAAGACTCTTACCGACTCAAAACCCCCCTGTTCCTGTTCCTGCGCTTACCCCGCAACCCCGGCTGAACATCAGCCCTTTAGGGCCCCGTCTGTGGTGGTCTATCGGCTCTGAAACTCACGGATTTTTTTTAATTTTCAGGTGCTCAAGTGAATGCATCGAGTTCGGTAATTGGATCTCCTCTACACGTTGCCTGCTCCGACAATATTACGAACAGGAAGGAAATTGTACAAGTAAGTGGAACTTAGAACTGTAAACAATACTAGCGATCCGCCCCGCCTTCTCACGGGTGTGATGCTGATACTAAATTTCTCTACTATTTATTACACGTATTTTTTTTATTTTTTTTTATAATTATTTAAAAAAAACGTTGCCCCACATTAGGATTTTCTCCTGTGTCGAACCCGCGACACGTTGCGCGGCAGCCAGTTGCCCAGCCACCGCGCCAAACGTGCAGTCAAAAACGTATAAACCTTTTACTTCAATTACTCAACCGCATCATACATAACATGATGTTGTTAATGAGCAGATGGGTCACCAAATGCTGAGCAATCAACATCGCTCATGGACACCAGTAATTCCAGAGGAGCATTTTGGATTTTTTTATAGATTTGAGTATTTGAGATTCGATAATTTGAGATATGATCGTTTGAGATATGAGCATTTGCGATATGATCGTTTGAGATATGAGCTTTTGAGATATCAGCATAGGAGAGATTTCGGTATTGAGGATGAGCCCTCAAAGCCTAGAAGCCAAAAAATTAAATAATTGTTTCATGGCGGTTTCCGATGGGGCCTGTCTTTCTTAAACTTTATTACCACCAGTCTTTAAAAATAGTATCTTAAACTTCCAGATTCTCCTAGAAAGCGGTGCAGACCCAAACCTGAAGGTGTACAATGACGAGGACGCCACGCAGCTGCGACCAGCGCTCGCTGAGTACCTTGCCAGTAACCCGGAACCCAGCGCTGAGATAGTTGCCTTGTTACTAAGATACGGAGCCAGGGTAATTATTCATTTTGTATATTGCAACACAGAACAATAAAAAAACATTTTGTATATTGCAACACAGAATAATAATAAAAAAAAAAAAACAAAAAAAAAATTATTTACACAACGTAATAATATCATCAGCCTACAAGTGGCCACTGCTGAGCAAAGGCCTCTTCTCACACGGAGAAGGTTTGAGTCCACGCTTACTCAAGCTGGATTGGCGATTTCAAACTTAAAATTAGAAATTATAAGTCTAGGTTTCCTCACGATGTTTTCTTTCACCGTATGTCAGTGGTGTCTAAATAATTATAGAAAGTACATATAACTCGGAAAAAGTCACATTGATTATTTCCCAGTTAGGAACCCTCATGCATCAGTAGCCGGCGCCTTCAACTCCGGGTGTCGACGACCTGTGCTGTTCCAACTATTATAAAGAATCTTGTTAAAGCTTAAAAATCTTGTTAACCTTTTTGGAGTAGGGAAGCAAACGAGCAGACGTATCACCTGATGGTAAGCAATCCGCGCTGCGCTTAGGTACTCTCACTCAACACCTAAAAAGGCGCTCCCTACAACGGTAACCATACGAGCTAACTGACGAGTGCGGCCTTTTAGACATTAGGTACCTATTTGAAGATCAGAGGTTTTGGGGATTTGGGATCGGGGATGGGCGAGGGGAATGGTCTTTCAGCAACATCAAAATTGTAATTTTTTGGGTGTATAGGTAGCTAGAGATATTTCTGATGCAAAGCAATTGAGTGGTTTGTTCAGTGAATACACTTAAACTATTTTTGTAATTAGGTCTCACTAGTCAATTCATTATACACGACGCTTGCCCCATTGATTTTCGCTTACTTACCAGTACTGTGGGCCCCTGACATTGCTTGAAACTGGTTGAACTTACTCTTACAACTTCAACAAAACTTGACAAATTATTTTTCTACTTCAGGTCATCATGAAAACCCAATTCCGTGATCCAGACGGCATCCTCAACCATCTCCAGAACGTCACGTCAGAAGAGTACCAACATATCTTCTATCTCCTTCTAGAAGCAGCTGAAGCATTCGACCTTTGCATGATTAAAAGAAACAACGCAGTTACAGCTACGCAAAAAGAGGCCTTAATCCATCGTGCTAAAACCCCTATTTCCTTACTGGCTCAAACTAGGATATTTTTGAGAAGATACTTTAAAACTATGCTAGTGGATGTGGTTCCGGATATGGAAATACCTAAAATCCTCCACCAGTACCTACTTTTTAATTGCCGTTAAAAAGAGGTTTTATTATTTTAAGGTTTCATTCAAGGCTGCAAAGAGGAATTCTTTTGCCTCATCCCTTTTGACAGATAGTTTTTGGTGTTGCCAGTTTATTTTGTCCCCCGGTTTTGTGGGTAATTTGGATTGAATTCAGGGTTTGTTGATTTGGCTAAGAAGATATGAAAAGTTATTGAGATTAAATGGAAAGATGAGTTGCTTAGGCAGCTTGTACGACTACTGTTAATTATGTTAGCGGTGCGTTAGAGTTTATATACTTAAGTGCTCGTATTTTTGTATAAGTAGCTATTTGTGGTAACTTGTATTTTTGTTTTGTATTTCAAATTAAGAAATCACAATTTGTCGAATTTATATTGTAGGTTTAATCATTGTACTTTATGTAATTATTTTATTTGCTTTACATTTTAATCATATAATATGTATTTGAAAGGGGAAAGAACTAAGAAAAACTGAACAACATTATCATATTTTATAATCAAAGTGCAAATTATTACACTACAATTTTAGTAAAATGAGAAAACCAATGATTTTCCCAAAAATATTTCCTTCGTTGTATTATTTTTAGCAATGAAAATATTGTATCATTGCAGGTATGAAAGATTTTAAATCTATTTTTATTTAATTAAAGTCTGTTTAGTGTAGTAGGTAACAAAAATGATTACTTTTCTATGAGGTATCTGCATAACAAAAGGCTGGTGCAGCGCGTAAGATCTGATGAGCAATGGATTTTATATTATCAAGTCATATTCAGAGACTTAGTCCATTTCTTAGCGATTGTTTTCGGAACAAAGTCTTCACTACGGAGTAGCTTAAGTTGTGTCTGCAGTAAGTCAACTTGTGAAATCAATGCAACTAAGCTGATTGGAATAATAAAACTGTATGCGTTACTAGCGACATCTAGTGAGCGCAAATTCTTTTTGTTTTTAAATGAAGTTTATTTAATTATTATTATATTATAATTATAGCTATCGCAAGTCACCATGTATTGTAGTCTGATTTCTATACTATGTGATATTTTGTGATATATTTTAATTTTAAGACTTTACGCTTGTAATATTGATGTTACAAGTAAAAACGATGTAATGCGATGATTATTTTATAATTAAGATTCAAATAAATGTGTGAAAATAATTAGTTGTTTCTTCATTCTTGATTAACTTAATCTAAAATACTAGCGACCCGCTCCTGCTTTGCGCAGATGCCATGCTAACAGTAAGTTCCTCCACTTTTTAACAGATGTTTTTACACATATCTATTATAATATAAATTCTAAGTTTGTATGTTTGTAATTTTGTATGTAGGGGGTAATCTTTGGAACCGCTGGTCGGATTGCCAAAATTCTTTCATTTATTGATAGCTACAATTTTCCCGAGTGCTACAGGCTATAAAACATCACGCTACGATCAAATGGAGCCGAGAAGCGGGTGAAACCGCGCGAGAGTAGCTAGTAACATATATAAAACGAACCGCATAAAATCCGTTGTGTAGTTTCAAAAATTTTAGCTTAGATAGGGATATAGGGACAGGGAAAGTAAAATAACCTACATTCATGACGGATCCTCTGAAAGAATAGTTAAAAATACTACTCAGGCCTGAAAAAAAGTTGCATGTGATATTACAGCTGAGTCCTAAGTCCCATCCCATCACATTAGCGATTGTGTGTCCCATAATAAGACACAATTCAAAATTCACTGAGAAGTTACTAAGAAAAAATCCCAGAAAAATCTTAATAATACCTTACATAATTTTAGCAGGTACCTAATTAAATAAAAAAAATTTTTTTCGTTTATTATTCGTTATAACAACCACTTGCAACAACTAAGGTAGTGACATATACATATGTACATAAGTAAAATAAATATAGGTGAACTAAAATGCGTGCATGTGACGAGTGCGTTGCCGACCTTTTAGGGATTGGGGGAGGGGAAGGATTGGGCCTCCGGTAACCTCACTCACACAGCGAAACACCACGCTGTGGTTGTTTCACGCCGGTTTTCTGTGAGGCCGTGGTATCACTCCGGTCGAGCCGACCCATTCGTGCCGCATGGCTCTCCCGCACTTAACTTTTCTTTTCATTATTAGTATGTCATCTGGCATTATGATAGACACGTGAGTAACCCGCGATTTTTAGTTAATTTAGTATATCTCACGATAGTTATTATAAAAACATAAATATAGGTAACTAATTCTTAGGAGTTTAGGACAAATTGGTAGTTACCTAACATTCTTGTATCACAAATACCTACAGCACAATTTTATAGCTAATTAGCTACATCAACCAAAGTATCCATCATACTTTGGATACCTACATCATGTATGTATGACTCATTATGAGAGGATTCGGACACATCATGATTCCCGCTATTTACCGAAATTAAAAGTATGTAAAAAGTAATTCGTATAAGCATTAAATATGTCTTGTTGACTAAAGTTTCACAATATTTAGCTATCAAAGAAATAATAAGCAAGGTAGTAAGGATTTTTAATAAAAATAACATACGTACTTACCGCGCAGAAAAAATAAAATATTGCACAGCTACCATATTAAACAAACTTTCGACAGTAGATTTTTTATTTTCAACTATAGCAACATTCACACAGTGACTTGTCAAATCTACCAACTTGCAATTTAGCATCGAAGGCAAATCCAAATAAACAATTTTTTTCTCAATTTCTCTGCGAAATATATCAAATTTGATTCCAAAATGTCTGACAAACAGAAAGTAGACCTCGGCCTCCTCGAAGAAGACGATGAATTCGAAGAATTTCCCGCTGAAAGTAAGAATTTTTTGATATTATTTTTCCCTAGACCAAACTTAGGAGAATTTTGTTTTAATTTGATGCTATTTGCTTTCAGACTGGGGAACTGAGGATGCTGATGATGAAGACGTGTCAGTTTGGGAAGACAACTGGGAGGATGACATCGTACAAGACGATTTTAATCAACAGTTGAGGTTAGTTTTTTACAAAGAGTTCCTTCCTTAATCATACTGGTGTTTTATATTCGCGTCAAAATGCTAAGACCCAAGGGGTTGGAGTTCCAATTTTAAATGAAATGTATTCGATTATTTAAGTATATATTATCTGTAAACTACACCTGAAGGTATCCTTCTTTGACAAATACTCTAACAGCAGAGTTATTATTGCATTGTGGTTTTATCCTGTATAGCAAATCAAAAGACCAACCTCCTTTCCTCAGTCTGCAATATAACACATTGTTAATAAGCAACATTTATTTATTGCCTTGTGGAATTAATTAGTCAAACTCAAGTCTCATATTGCCATGAATTAAAGGTTAAAACAAGTGTTTAACTTGTCATGGTTCCAAAAACAAATAGCTGTCTTATCTCTACAAGAAATATACCAATTTAAGACCTTTATGAACCTTTTTAATGAAACAGCTTGGTATGATATGTTTAGCTGACAGCTTGTCTGTTCTCTGTAATTGTGGGACCGGTGTGAGCCACAGTTGTATTATTAAAGGGTTGATATCTCATAAATATTTCTCCACACTGTCTTTTCGGTGATGCTTGCATTGACAACCCACAGTGCAGAAATACATCCTGAAACTTTATTCAGAAAGCACCTGTGTCAGGAGGATGTTGAAGATGCTTTGGTGTCTCTCTAGCCACTTTTTAAAGAAGGAACTTACCAAAAAACTCAGCCCTCATTTACTATGATAATAATAATAGCCTTTATTTCAGATTGACATAGCTTAACCTAGTAACAATATTTTAGACCAAACATAAAATTTAGAGTAAAATTACAACTTATTCTAGTATTTGCTGCTTATTTATTTTCTGCAGATCTGTTTGCCAATCGGGGAAGGCCTCCCTCAACCTTTTCCATTCAGTTCTTTCTAGAGCCCCTCTATTCCACATCACTCCTGCCACTTCTCTTATGTTGTCATCCCACCTTTTCTGCGGTCTGCCTCTTTTCCTCTTACCTTCCCTTGGATACCACCTTGTGACCATCTTACTCCATGTATCATGACCTCTTATTGTATGCCCTACCAGTCTTTTAATTTTCTGTACTACATATATGGTTCCTACCTTTTTCCTTATGATGGAGTTTTTCAGTCTGTCTGATCTTTTGAAATCATGGACTTTAACCCGAGAAATGACTAGCAGACTAGCAACTAGCCAACACACTATCGAGAGGAGCATGCTAAATGTCAAAAGATTATTTACTATAACCTTACTACAAACCTATCCTAAGTCTAACTCGAAGGGAGGTAACTTTGATCCAAACCCTAACTAATAATAATCCAGAACCAAATATAGCTCTTCATTGGTTAAGAGGTTTGGATCAATGTTACCCCCTATGGTCAAAGTTACCCAAACTTACTGTTAACACCACAGAACAGAAAATTAAGTAGACGACTACACTCTTTCAAAAGGAAAACCAGTGTCGCCAAACTCACAATTCGCAAATCAAATTGTCTAATACACACATAAAAACAGCTATATAATTGGGTAAAAAGTTGAAACGCAACTTTAGCAAATCATCTTCTAAATGTTGTTAAAAATTGAATCTTATAACAATGAGCGAAAGTTGTTATCATTTCACATGTCACAATCAATAATGTCTATCGTGTAAAAAACTTAAATAAAACAATTGACAACGGGTTCAATTGTATTCTCTATTCCGTGGTTAACACCTCCATGTATATTCTGTTTTATCTATGCTTAGTTTTTAATCCATATTTTTCTCTCTTTCAGGTTACAACTAGAAAAACTGAAGGAACAGAACAAGGCTTAAATAAACTTAGCGTACCTAGGTTTAGATTTAAGTTAGTTAACTAAGATTTTATATTAAATTCCAACTTTTCTCATTAACATTTTTTTTATATTGTGAATCTTAGCCAAGATTATTGTAAAATTTTTGTAAATAACATTAATGTATATTTGTAATGACAACAAAAAATTCCTTCAAGATTAAACATCATCAGCCTATAACTGCCCATTGCTGAGCAAAGGCTTCTCACACAGAGAAGGTTTGGGCATTAATCACCACGCTTGCTCAATGCGGGTTATCGATTTCCAGAAGTCCAGGTTTCCTCACGATGTTTACCTTCACTGTATGTCAGTGGTGTCTAAATAATCATAGAAAGTACGTATAACTCGGCAAAAGTCACATTGGTACTTGCCAGGTTTCGAACTCGGAGCGGGCTCCATAACCTCAGGGCTACCACGGCCACCAAGATTAATGTTATACCCTTTTATTAAAGAATAAATATCATTCATTGTCTTCTCCTGCCCAAGGTAGACGGAGTGGAAATGTCTCTTACTGACTCAAAGCCCCTGTTTCTTCTACTCTTTGCTCTCAACCCTGCTGAGGTTTGTCGTTGTGCTTTCATCAGCTCAAAACTCTGGCCCACCTCCATATATGTTTGCAAATATTTCACAGTAATCTTGGCCTAAATATAGTATTCATAATCATAATAGATAAATGGAGCTATTTTAGTTTTTTTTTATCTTAAATAGTTCGTATTAGAATTTGCTGGTCAAAAAATATAGACTTTTTTACAATATAAAATTGAAAATAAATCTCCTGCTGGCTTATTATTTATCTATGTCTTTTCAAGTTAATAATATTTGTATCTTTGAAGCAGTGGTTCAAATATTTCTTAATTAAAAATGTTCTTAAGAGCTGAATTGTTTTTCTTTTCCCTTTTTTATGACAATTGAGCAGACGGATTACCTGATGGTAAGCAATCAGTGTCGCCCATGTGTTGCCGACCTATTAGGGATTGGAGAGGGGAAGGTTTGAGCACCGGTTAGCCTCACTCATTCGGCGAAACACAACGCTGTGATTGTTTCACGCCGGTGTTCTCTGAGGCCGTGGTATCACTTCGGTCGAGCCGATCCATGGCTCTCACACAGTTAGCGTCCACTCAGTTCCTTGACTGTTTTTGTGGTTTTCGGTGTAAACACCTTGCTATATTAATAAAGATCGTGATTCCTCCACTGATATTCTAAGAGACACCTGATTTTCATATGAGGTGATGAGCTAAGAGGTCGTTGTAGATAAGAATTGGGTGGTGCCTAATTACTTTAGATTGGCGCTAATAGACTTCTCAACTAGTTTTTGTATATATATATTTTAATAATTAAAAAACGTTGCCTGTCTGTATATTTTCCGGTGAGCGACAATTTGTAGTTTACTTACACATGTGTAGTTCCGTGCGGGAATCGAACCCGCGACTCTGCACATCAACAAGTTGCCCAGCCACTGCGCCAACCGTGCAGTCATTGCTGTGACACCACCTTCCCAATGCTCGCAAAAGTGCGTCTCATTGTGCGTCCGTAGCCGTTGAACAGAATGGGCGACAAAATGCAACCCTGGTTTACACCTTGGTGAAATTTAACGGGCTTAGAAATTGTGCTAACGGCTTTTACAGCTCTTTGCTTCGAGCAATGGAGGGTTCGAAGTAGAGAGATCGGATGATGTGGTACCCCCAATTCTCGTAGAACGTTCCCTAAGCAGCTCCAGTTGATACAGTCGAAAGCCTTTCTATAGACACGGAGGAATTGTTTTTAAAAAAAAAAAACACCCGCGTCACGTTGCGCGGCAGCCACTTGCCTAACCGTGCAGCCATTATTAGTGGCGTTCCGATTAAACTCGTATGCTTTTTCAATGGCCTGTCTAATGTTAATATCAGGAATCTGCGCTCGAGAACCATTGCCCCTCACAAAACCCGCTCGCTCGAGAGACGCCACGGCGTCCTTACCTTCTGCCTGATGCAGGTGCTTACCGGACACAGCAGCTTCGTTAGGTTCCTGTTTCGGATCCGGCGGGAGGAAACGCCCGAGTGTCGTCATTGTGAGGACCGCCCAGAGGACACGGTGGAGCATACGGTGGCGGTGTGTCCTGCTAGGGCTGAGCACCGCCCTGCCCTCGGGGAAGTGATCGGCGACGGCGACCTCTTGCACCCGGCCTTAGACGAGGCCATGGTTCGTAGCGAGAGGAACTGGGAAGGGACTCTGACACTCTTGCCTTACCATGGGCGCCTCCAGGTCATACCGATTACGATTATTTAGTTTTTCTCTGTCTCACGTGCCGGCAAGATTATGCTGGCATGTGCAAAGAGAATATAAGCACTACGTGACCCATTTTTTTCATTCGTGCTGAAGCTTAGGTCTCCCACATTTATGATACTCTTTGGGCAGCGGCAGAATGATGGATACCGACCAATGCTGCGGCTAATCCTAAACCTAAACCGTGCTGCCAGATATGTCAACAGAGGGCATAAAAGGTGTAGGTATAGCTCCCCTCTTTCTCGTTCGGAATATCACGTAATGTACTATCAGCCCAAGTTCCGCAAGCTCACCTCTAAGGCGATAATTGCTTGGCACGGCTCTCGAGTCTCGACTCGAATGCTCAATGCATGCGTTTTGACCAATAGGAAGCGGACGTGTTTGTGTTCTGTTCGTATAAGTATAATGTTGTATAGATGTGTAACACTCACACAATGACACGGCACGTGCTATGCTCGTTTGTTGTGAGATGATTATTTAAAGGAGACGCCCTGCATGAGCTCTTTATGAAAAGAAGTAATTACGTAGGTACTAATATCTTCTTTTAGTTTAGAAAATGATTAAATTTACTATATTAAACACTTATTTACTTTAACGTGATATTAAACCCCTTCCAAAATTATGAAATAATTATTAATATGAATATTTTGTAATTATGTATAATATTATATATACAGTGTAAACTCTTTATAACACCAACCCAAGGGACTGAGCATTCTTTGTCGTTATAGAGAGTTATCGTTATATGGAGTGAACAAAAACAACCAATTTAACAAGAATTTTTAATATGTGTCTTAGATATTCAATGCTTATAAATTATTGTTTACACATATAGTCTGATAACTCGTGTCCGTTACCCAGGCCAGATGTTGTCGACAATGGTCATTTGAATCTTATAGATAATTAGTTGTGCGGCTTCTGTAATTGTTGCGCACATTTTTAAATTTGTTGCGCTTATAGTTTTTTAATTATTTCACAAAAACATTTCCTGCTGGCGTAACGTTACCACAGCCAGACCTTTTTATTTCTAATGGGAATATTTAAATAAATATTAGCTATAAAATTAGTTGTCTAAATAAAGTAAATGTTGTGCCTTATTTTGTATTTGTTCTTTCTTCGGTTGCGAAGTTATTCGAGATTTTGCTGCGGTAACGTTTTTGGTTTTGCTAGATCTTTGAAATGGTTAAGCGGATTCTTATCATATTTTGTACACGACTTCCGAGGACTTAGTTTAAATTTGTGGTGCAATAACAAAACCAAAATAATGCATATTTTAAAGGTTTTTTCATTAAATAGAAAAACACTTCAATTGGCCCCAGCACTCTCAATAAGAAGTCTAAAGACTTACTTTAAACGTAATTTTAAAGCTTGTAACTGCCTTCAAATGTATGTGAAGTTTCATTAGTATCCCGTAAGTATTTAACAAGTTATGATGATATTCAGTTCTTCACGAGCACGGTCTTAATGCACGCGGTGTTATTTGGCCACTGGATTGGATATATGAACTGAATGTTATGTCAATAATTAGTTGTTTAGATCAGTTGTATATCAGTAAAATTTCAGCTCAATACATTGGATAATTAATGAGATAATACTATGAAAGTCATTAGGAAGTGAATGACCGTGGTAAGCCGACCAAGTTTAGGTGGTTACGAAAAAGCGAAAACGCAGAACATTGTACTATCTTTTGAAATGTTTAGTATAATACACCTTACAATTTTGGTACAGACGCGTACACTGTTAAATACCTATATAATAATAATATAAAAGAAAACACTATCTTCCAGTTCCACAAAATTATCAAAAATCATCGCTAGAGCATGCCGTTCGGTAGGACGCAGGAGGAGTGGGGTGAAGGGGTAATACATTGTTTGCATAACGCACTCAGTCTTGCCAGAAGGTTACTTTTGTAACCTTTTAGATGATTTTTGAACTGCATTTTGAAATAGAAATGACAAGGACGGGTGATGTTTAATCGGTTGCTAAGCAACACAAGTTTTTATAAGTAAGGGAGTAAAAGTTCAATTGAAATGATTATTTTACCTTTCAATAAAAAATCTTGAATAATCATGTAGTTTTTTTTTACACTTTTGTACATGTCTGTACTAAATTTATAACACTATCCTACATATTTTAGAAGGTACCATAATGTTCAGCGTTTTCGCTTTTTCGTAACCACCTAAACTTGGTCGGCTTACCACGGTCATTCACTTCCTAATGACTTTCATAGTATTATCTCATTAATTATCCAATGTATTGAGCTGAAATTTTACTGATATACAACTGATCTAAACAACTAATTATTGACATAACATTCAGTTCATATATCCAATCCAGTGGCCAAATAACACCGCGTGCATTAAGACCGTGCTCGTGAAGAACTGAATATCATCATAACTTGTTAAATACTTACGGGATACTAATGAAACTTCACATACATTTGAAGGCAGTTACAAGCTTTAAAATTACGTTTAAAGTAAGTCTTTAGACTTCTTATTGAGAGTGCTGGGGCCAATTGAAGTGTTTTTCTATTTAATGAAAAAACCTTTAAAATATGCATTATTTTGGTTTTGTTATTGCACCACAAATTTAAACTAAGTCCTCGGAAGTCGTGTACAAAATATGATAAGAATCCGCTTAACCATTTCAAAGATCTAGCAAAACCAAAAACGTTACCGCAGCAAAATCTCGAATAACTTCGCAACCGAAGAAAGAACAAATACAAAATAAGGCACAACATTTACTTTATTTAGACAACTAATTTTATAGCTAATATTTATTTAAATATTCCCATTAGAAATAAAAAGGTCTGGCTGTGGTAACGTTACGCCAGCAGGAAATGTTTTTGTGAAATAATTAAAAAACTATAAGCGCAACAAATTTAAAAATGTGCGCAACAATTACAGAAGCCGCACAACTAATTATCTATAAGATTCAAATGACCATTGTCGACAACATCTGGCCTGGGTAACGGACACTGATAACTCTGACGTTTTTTGCTAAAAAAGGACTTAAATTTTTCGTCATCACTAATCGCTTTCGGTTTACCATTTAACCATGTTATATTATTAATTATGTTAGGCCATGTTTTTCATGTTTAGTTTCAAAGTAGGTTTTCGACTGATATTACGATAACTTCCATGTGTGTATTATTATGTATGCTTGGTCAAAGCCCGTCACTTCTGAGAAAACAATGCGACATACTGCACGTGTTCAAGGTAATTAAGGATAATATAAGGTAGACCGAATATTTCGGAGCTTACGTACGTAGCTTACTTACGTACGTAGACCTACAGATCTATCTTCTAGTGTCTTATTGTGAGGGTCGATTCATCAAATGATTTCTCCCGCCCAAGGTGGAGCAAGAGGGAGTCACTCTTACTGACTAAATAAAAAACCCTCTTTCCTTCTCTTGCTCTGGGCCGAGTTTGCGGTGATCTTGTAGTGTTCTAACACCCAAATCACCCATGGCACCGAGCTCTGATGTAATTTGGTCGCTTCCTGGACCTGGAGCTATTATTATCTCGGCACCAACTGGCCTGGATGAGTTTTAGGTAGGTATTGACTTTGAAATAGTCTGCCATAACATTTTTTACTACTATCAAAATGGGTAAATACAGAATAATAAAAGTTTGTATGTAGGGGGTAATCTTTGGAACCGCTGGTCGGATTGCCAAAATTTTTTCACTGATAGATAGCTACAATGTTCCTGAGTGCTATAGGCTATAAAAAACACGTTAAGATCAAATGGAGCAGAACAGCGGGTGAAACCACGCGAGCGAGTAGCTAGTACAGAATAAAACACACAAATACTAAAAATAACACTTTTATTACAGAAAAAAAAACACTTAGGTATATTAAACAAAATACTATTTTTAATCAGTTCTTGTAAACTCAAATAGGTTTCCAAAAATTCAATACACTATTTCATTTATTAGCCATATACCCTTAGATAAAGATCAATGAGAAATGTTTTTGAAAAAACTGCGATTTTATGACGATGTAAATGAGTTGAGTTCTGTGCTTCGACAGTTCACTCAGGTAATCGACGGGTGGACGTCGCGTTATCCAAACGAATATTATGCGAAAGTAACTCTGTCTGTCTGTCTTTTCTTCACGCATAAAAAACTCTTTTACTTATTTTGCTGTGCCCTACAGGGTCCATAATTGATCTCACACAAATTGTTACCACCTTTAAATGTACTTATGGAAAAGCAATAAAGATATTGAGTATTGAAAACAGAACCGCTTTGTGTGTAATTTGGACAACAGTGTAACAGACATAGTTTGGAACTCGATAAAGGATATAGGACAGTTTTAGCCCAAAATTCGCGCGGTAGCGGGATCTTCTTAAAAATCCTGCAAGATCAGGAATTATGCAGAGATGAGAGAGGCTGGCTCTAATGAGCTGACCTTTAAAACAGACGATATGTCCTTGATTTGTTTACAAACATTTCACATAGATCTTGGAATGGAGTATAGTAAATAAAAAAATGCAAAAATCAATGACATATGACTAACAAAACAGTTTAGATTTTGATTTTAAAAATGTACGTAATTTTACTAGATTGATCTAAAAATATTGTTAGTAGATATCAAGACCAGCTTGTTTTGATTTTTTTTTAACTTATTATTAAGTAATTGATTATTTTTAAGTTACGTAATATAAAGCTTAAAATATCTGTGAGAACACACAGCTGTTACTACTGCGCATAGAAAGCTGTGTAATATTTGGCGCTTTAGGGGAGTTCAGAGTAATTTTTCAGAATCTATACAAACTTATTAGAGTAGATTTTTCAATAGCCAGATAAATGTTATCTGAGGAATAAAAATTGTTGCTGTCACTGTCTTACACAAACATTCTGACGCGACAGCATCATAATTAATCCCCAGGTAACTTTTATCTAACCATTGAAAAATCAGCCCATTTATGGGTACAAAGTAAAAATTAGTTTGAAACTAGCTTATTAAATATCTTGAGCCTCTAGGCCAGTTATAAGGTTATAAGACAATGAAATGAAATTTTTTAGACATACCTAATTTTATTATATTACCAGCCACCCGCACCCGATTCGCACGGGTCCAACTATCTCGCTATCAAAGGGTCACTTTTTCCTAATCTTCCCCTCAACTTTTGTAATATTTTCTTTGATAAGAACCTTCCCCTGACAATAACAAACACAACAAAATAATAATTAGCAAAATTGGTCTAGGCGTTGTTGATTTATGCGCTTACCAACACGTTTTGCGATCCATTTTTATATATAAAGATGTCTATAAAAAGCTGGAGGGCCGTCCCAGCTTAGTACGGGCTACGATAATTAATTTTTAGTAAGGATACCAAATTTTTTCTAACAATAAGTACAGCCTTTGTTATTTGGGGCGAATATAGCTTTTCAATCGTGAACGATTCATTGAAATCAACACAATAGTTTTTTGAGTAGCAAACAAACAGAATAACAAAATGTTCCCCATTATAATATAGTCTTAGTGTAGATGAATAGCTAAATTTGAACCGGTTTCGCAAAACTTTTTTTGTTGATTTTACTATTTTTAGAAGAAAATTTTTATAAAAAAAATATTAAGAAAAGTAGAGAGAATTATTGAGAAACGGCAACCATTTTGATGTAATGGCAATTCGCTCACTTACTGTGATATTTGAACCATGCAAAGTAGGGACGGCCCGCTAGTACATTAAAATTATGATTGACCTAACCATAAGACTATGTGATATCGTTCCCTATTTCATCAATATTGTTCTAAAAAAATCTTATTCTAAAAGGCACTTTTTTTAATTATGAATCTTAAATACAAGAATAAATAACATAGGGGTATTAGAAGTTGATATTTTGCCCTCCTGTGGTCCCAAATTGGTATTCCTCCTCTGTCTGTGTCGGCTGTGCGTTAGGATCCTCTTGTTCAGCGAAATATGTATCAAGAATGTGCAGTACTTTTTTGTATATCTGAAAAATAAAAAGAAAATAATTTTAAATAGGTATTATTGGTTTTCGATTTGTGATAGTCTGTTTTTAATGGAATACGCATCATTATAAATTAATAAGTGTGGGGAGCCATGCTTCGGCACGAATGGGTCGGCTCGACCGGAATGATACCACGGCCTCCCTGAAATCCAGCGTGACACAACCACAGAGTTGTGTTTGCCGTGTGAGTGAGGTTACCGGAGACCCAATCCTTCCCCTCCCCCAATCCCTAATTCTACAAATCTCCAAATCCCCAAAAAATCGGGAACGCACTCGTCAAAATCATTTATATTCCAACTAAACCATTTCATTCTTGAAACATCTAAATAGAATGATAGTCCGTCAGTCTTTTCGTCAGTGAAGCTAGGTGTAGATTCGAATGGAGAAGTACAAGCAAGAAACTCCATAAGGATCTTCCAAGGGAGTCACACGCATGTTATCAGCTCTTTGTGGACTATTAGGGATTTGGAGATTGGGAACCGGGAAAAAGATTGGGTTTTTTTTTTAAATCATTTATTCCAACTAAACCATAAATAGGTACTTTTGAAACGTCAAGATAGAGAAGTAGTCTGTCAGTCTGTTCGTCAGTGAAGCTAGGTTTCAGATAAATACCATAGGGAAACAATGCAAGCTTAGACTTTAGTGTTGTCTAATATTTCAAAACGTACCTGTTCATTTTCATGCTGCTGTAGGTTTTCAATTTGATCCAACGCGCCAATCTCTTCCAGTTTTAAGCACAGAGCTTCCACTTGACCATATTTCACTGCCGCCTGTAAAAAAATGGAAAAATATTAAGGCGTTTATGATTTTTTTTTATTGTTTCGTAATGGGCTGGCATTTGTCCGCTATCACGCCTGGTGGAAAGCGATGATGCGACCTACGATGGAGCATGTCTACACATAAGCAACCTATTCACTCGGGCCTTGAAGACACTTAGGTTATACCCATCAGGGAATACAGGCTCCGGCAAAGAATTCCACTCCTTCAGCAGTTTTGATTATGTAACTATAGGCGAACCGTTTCGGACGGGATATTCAACATAAAGCGATGACGTTTTGCCTATTATCTGGTGCAATGAAATGGTAAGCACAGCTAAACTAATTTGTGTAAGACTAAATACTAAAAATAATAATAAAAAAGGGCTTCGTGCTGGCCCAAAGCTTACGGCGCTCGCTTCTGCATGAGAGAGTTCGAAACTTGGCAAGTGCCAATGTGACTTTAACGAGTAACAAAGGACTTTAAATGTCTGATTGTAATATTGAAATCACGATCTGTATTGAAATAGCGTAGTGATTAATATAAAACCTTATCAGCGTCAGAAGCCTTTGCTCAGCAATGGGCATTTTATAGGCTAGTAGATGATGTGATATACGATAATCTAGACTATTATTTTTGCCAGTTCGGTTCTGTTCAGCAAATTTTGAGTCTTTTACTCAAAATCATCTGCAGTAACAAATATACGTATTATTATGTACTAGTGGACCCTCACAGAAAACTTCGCATATCAAATTTCAGCGAAATCGTTAGGGCAGTTACCGAGATCACATGTTTTTCAAGCAATCAGCGCCAACAGTCGTGTTAATTAGTGAATCTAAACCATCGAGTGTGCCACTCAAACGCATACAGAATACAATTGAATTGGTCAAGCCGTTTAGGAGGAAGTTCAATAACATACACACGTACAGCAGAATTTTATATGTATCAACAAGGTATTGGTTTTTTTTTATTTAATAGATCGGCAAAAGAGCAGACGGCTTACCTGATGGTAAGCAATCAGCGCCGCCCATGGACACCCGCAACGGAGGAGTTACGAGTGCGTTGCCGACCTTTTAGGGATTAGGGATTTGGAGAATTAAGGATTGAGGAGGGATTGGGGGTGGGGAAAGATTGTAATATTAGTATGATCTTACATACCTGTAATAAATTAGTTAGTCCATCCAAGACGACGGAGATGGCTCTATGATCAGGAGCGGACAGCAACGCGCAGTAAGGCTCAAGGAATCCAACGGAGAGGAGAGCGTCTAGCTGTTCCGGAGTTCCGCCTAGACAGAGGTTTGTGATCGCCCAAGCTGCTTCTTTGCGACATCTGAAATAGATCGGAATATCTTTTAACTTATTATTTTAATTTAATTTATTATTTTAATTTAATTTATTATTTTAATTTAATTTATTATTTTAATTTAATTTATTATTTTAATTTAATTTATTATTTTAATTTAATTTAATTTATTATTTTAATTTAATTTATTATTTTAATTTAATTTATTATTTTAATTTTTAAATTTCTATATTTTTATATAAAATCGGTTTGACAATTTCTCTTTGCATATTTTTTTTTTAAATTTGACTTGATTTCACTTATATTTAATATAATCTATGTTATTTATGGATTTTTATAATCTGAAGTAAATTGAATTGAAATTGAAAATTGAAATTTAACATACGGACAAAATAAATAAATGGATTACGTAAAATAATCTTAAATCACATCACGCAAGCAATTTGGAAATTGGAAATACAAATGTAGAGAGTGACTACATAGTTGATTGCTCGCAGGTGGCACTACTGAACAAAAGCATTTGAGTTCAATTCTTGGGTCAGGCTACTATTGGTGTAATTTCGGTTTATCTTCTAAATTCTGTTCTTATCACACCCGCGGCATGAATAACGGTGGTGATTTATGTGTGGAGTATATTTTTAATACTAATATGTACGTACTTGATATCATCAATGGTAAGGACATGTAGTAAATGGTCCAAAACGCCTTGTTGGATTGCCCGCTGTATCTGTGCCTGAGTGCCCGCTAGTATGTTGCTGACTGCCCAGGCTGCTTCCTTCATCAGTGAGGCTTTACCGCAGCGGAGCAGGGTGATTATGTGGGTTAGACAACCTGCTTCTAGGCAGCGGTCCGTCTGGGAATAAAAGACATAGGTAGTTTTAAACATAAGCTTTTATCAAGTAATTCAATAAGTGCCAGGATAAAACACAACATAAAAATGTGTTGTTTTACTTTTATTTAACACATTTTTACGTGACCTTAGACTATTTGTCAAATGATCACCTGATCACCTGATCGTAAGCATTTGGTGACTTCGGTGGAAGCGTGTTCCTGCACTTTTATTAAGGATTTCAGGGTTGGAGGTGTTGGGAATGAAGGGGCACACATTACAACTTTCTCATGTGTGGTGGGTGCGTAATTCACAAACACAAGGTGTTAACCGCCGAGACTCGAAACAACTATAGTAAATCACAGTGTTGTTCCGTGAGGGAATCGAACCCGCGACATGTTACACATGTTACATATTATAGTTCGGCAAAGCAGTAGACGGATTACCTGATGGTAAGCAATCAGCGCCGCCCATGGACACACAACATGATAGGAGTTACGAGTGCGTTGCCGGTCATTTAAGGATAAGGGTTTTAGATATTTAAGGACTCGGCAAGCATGGGGAGGCAGAGGGATTGGGTCTCCGGTAACCACACCCACACGATGAAACACAACACAAGCGTTGTCTAACGCCGGTTTTCTGTAAAGCCGCGGTATCGTATCACTCCGGTCGAGCCGACCCATGCATGGCTCTCCCACACTTACTTGTTCATCAGACCCAGTAAGCATGTTTCCTATAGCTCTCAACGCCGGCGTCCTGACGGCGGCCGACGTATGGTTCAGTAGTTTTACTATGCGAGGTAGTAGGTGCGGTGTCATTTGTACTGCCTCTATGCGCTCGTTGGGGCCGTCCGTTAGGTAGGAGAGAGCCCAACACGCATCCGCTATAATGGAAATGAAGAAATATATTGTAGACGCCATTATATTTGTTATTAAACAACTAGTTCAATTTCTTCTGTATAGTTTTGTGACGTCATTGTTTTTCGTCGTCAAATTAATTAATTATTAATCCAAACTAATATTATAAATGCGAAAGTAACTCTGTCTATCTGTTTGTCTTTTCCTCACGTTTAAACTACTGAATCAATTTGGTACAGACATAGTTTGGAACTCGAGAAAAGACATGAATAGTTTTTAAACCAAAAACTTCTACTAGAACGAGGTCGCGAGCAAAAGCTAGTATACAAATAAAAATGTCTACCAGTGCGTAGCCAAGACGGGTCGCTAGGTGTGCAATAAACACAAGACGACAAGGGATTAAAATTTTTATTAAATAAAATTATAATAGTAATTTCTTATGTAAAAAGAATTGAAAATTAATGAAATATAGTTTAAATATTAGTTACAAACGAGTTTCTTGCTAGTTCTTCTAAGAAATCTACACATTAACAACCTAATGAAACAATTAAATAGCTTCACCACAAGGACTGACTGTCATTTTTGTCTTGAAATCTTTGTTCAACATCAAGTGCCTTTAAAAGTAAAATTGAAACAACTGATTTGACTTTGACTTTGATTTACATACCCAAGACATCTTGGTCGGGGATCTCGAGCAGATCAGCTATATACGGTAATGCAGGAGACACGTATTCAAACTTTACTAGCGGGTTCTTGTTCCTGAAATAAAATATATATTTTTAATGAAGAGGAAATCAAAAAGTTGTATGTAAGTATGTAAGTTTATGGTGGAGGCCGGTTATTTTAAAATTATACTAATTATAAGTAATACCGTTGAATGATAATCTTTACAAAATCGAAATAATTCATTTTCTAAGCGTCTTTTTATAAGCATTAATCTGCGACACTTGCAGCACTGCACTTGCAGCACTTGCAGACAATGCAGCAGTTTTTTTTTTTAAAGTGGAAACTCACCAATTGACTTCTTTCGCTAAGGGACAGTGAGGCGAGAGGAAGTGTCAGACTCTTACTGACTAAAACCCCCCCATTCCTTCTCCTGCTCTGGGCCGAAGCCGTGATGCCTCTTTGCGCTTACCCCGCAACCCCGGCTACACACACATCGGCCCTATGACTTATAGGGCTGATGTGAGTGTAACGTTTGTCGTTCTGTCTGTGGTGGTCTATTGGCTTGGAGGCGAGAGGGAGTGTCAGTCTTACTGACTAACCCCCCCCCCTCCCTATCTATATATATATATATATACCTTCTCATTGTGTTTACCTCGCAACAAATAGTAATAATAATGTATATAAAAATATAAATGTATATAAAACTCTATGGCTCGACGTCAATATGAAACGTCAAATTTTTTCTCTGCAAAATTTATAAAATTATAATAAATACAAATATATATAATACCAATAATAAACTAAATAAAAAAAAACCCTTGGCAAAAACAACAACACAAAAAGACAAAATGAAGAAAATTCCGTACAATAACACAAAGAGAAAAAAGGTAATGACATAAGAACTCGGAAGAAACAATCATGTTGACGAGAGCCGCAGCACGTCGTGCACGCCCACCACCTCCGGCCTCGTCGCTCAGCTCCGCCTCGCCGCCGCCGGAATCCAGCCCCACCGTGAGTGATGTGACACCGGCCGTGGCAGCTGCGTCGAGCTCCAGCGACGAGTACTACTCACCGCCGACGACACCACCACCTACGCGTCGCCGGGGAGGACGCCGGCCGCCGGCAGGTTTAGGACCTCGAGGCCCACCGGCTTCTGATAGGGTCCCAGCCGTCGGCGGAAGTGTGCAGCGCATGCGATGGACACAAGCAATAAATGAAAACGTCATGCGCGCATACTATGGGGCTACAGAGGGAGGAAACAACCTGACCGCGTACCGTGTTCGGATGCTCTCTCTGTTTCAGGTGCTTGAGCCAGCCGTCAACGTATCAGCTCAACGACTGTCGGATCAGGTGCGGGTCATCCAGCGTAACCGTATGCTGGACGATACTGTGCTTGATCGCCTTCAAACGGAAATGGGTAGCCGTGCCAGTGCCTCCTCGTCGCGGACTGTGGTGCCAGCGACTTTGCCACTGACCAGCCACGGTATTGTTAGTACCGTCGCTGATGAGGAAAGTACTGATACGGTTGCACACGTAAGTACCCAGTGCATTGATGAATTGAGGAGTGCTTTGGAATGTGCGATTCGGGAATATCGCTACATATCACCCGAACTCAGACCACGCTTGCCTCGTTTGCCCATGCATAACAAGAATAGAGCGCTGGTGGCTGCACTGGATTCGCAGTTATCTAATTATTTAGATGACTGCGAAGACCTCGGTGATACACACTCGATAATGTACTGCGTGGCCGTAGCGGCATGTCGTGTGGCTCACGTCAAATTCCCTACTAATGACGTAACCACACGACCGAAATCAGCTGTACCGGCCTGGCAGCGCAGGATTGAGTGTCGTATTGCTGGGGCCAGAGCACTCATCGGCAAATTAATCTGCTTCAGGGAAGGTAATACCCGCCCCAGAGTGATGCGCTTTGTGAGACGGGCATTTTCGGGGACAGATATCAGCCCCCGAGACTATATGTCCCGCGTCACAGAGCGCATCGACTTTCTGAAGCAGAAGGTATATGCATGGGCAAACCGTATTCGGAGGTACAGGCGACGGGTGGAACGATATACCCAGAATCGCACATTCCGGAGTAATGAAAGGTGGGTGTATAGGACTTGGGAGCGACCGGACCATGGTGTGACAGATAGACGCCTCCCGGATGATGACGCCATGTGTTCATTCTGGCGCAGCATCTGGTCGGTGCCTGTCAGTCACACTGAGGGTGACTGGATTCGGGATGGCGAACGCGCGTGCGATCCAATACCACAAATGGGGACAATTAACATCAGTCCCCAAGATGTAGCCCGTGCAGTCCGTCCGTTGCCTAACTGGAAATCTCCAGGGCCGGATGGACTGCACAATTTCTGGATCAAGTGGTTGACAAGGGCGCACGCTCGTTTAGCATCTCAATTCCAGTCTGCCGTAGAGTCAGGATCGATCCCCAAGTTTCTAACGACAGGAGTAACCCACCTGCTCCATAAATCAGGCAGTACTGCGGAACCCAAAAATTATAGACCGATCACGTGTCTGCCGACGGTCTATAAAGTTCTTACATCCATACTGAGAAGTAAAATTAATAGTCATATTGACAAAAATAAAATCATGTCAACTGCTCAAAATGGATGTAAGAACGGATCCCGCGGTACTAAGGAGCTACTCCTCATTGATATGGCCATCAGCCAACAGGTTCGGCGTTCCCGAAAGGATCTGTCGACATGTTGGATAGATTATAAGAAGGCCTATGACTCTATTCCTCATACATGGCTCATGAGGGTGTTGGAATTGTATAAAATTGATACAATACTACGCACCTTCCTGATGTCCTGTATGAGGCAATGGAGTACGGTCCTTCGCTATCCGGGATGTCGACATACCCAAAGGAACAGCGAACCTGTAAGGATCGAGCGTGGTATATTCCAGGGTGATAGTTTGAGTCCGCTTTGGTTCTGCCTAGCCTTGAATCCTCTAAGCACACTCCTAGAGAATTCAGGCCTAGGCTACCGGTTGAAGAGAGGTGGTCAGGTTATATCTCACCTCCTTTACATGGATGACTTGAAGCTTTTTGCCCCCAACAAACTGCAACTGATAGAGCTACTCAAGCTAACTGAAACTTTCAGTAGTGCCATCAGGATGGAGTTTGGTGTGGACAAATGTGCGATCATGCATGTAAAACGAGGGGAGGTTGTGGAATCTGTGGGAACTCAACTCACGGATTCCATAAACCTGAGGTCCCTCTCTCCAACAGAAACCTATAAGTATTTGGGTATGTCGGAAGCTTTAGGCATCAATGTCACGGACATGAAGCAATCGCTGAAGGAGCGTTTCTTTGGTCGCCTGAAGAAGGTATTTAATAGCTTTCTTTCAGGTGGAAACAAAGTGCGCGCCTTCAACGGTTGGGTCATGCCGGTATTGATGTACTCTTTCGGCGTACTCAAATGGTCTCAAACTGAACTGGACGCCCTGGATAGGCAAGTCCGAACAATGCTGACTGCATACCGAATGCATCATCCGCGGTCGTCGGTGATGAGACTGTATATCCCGCGGAAGTGTGGGGGTCGAGGCTTTTTAAATGCCAAGACCCTACACAACCGCGAGGTATGTAGTCTCAGGGAATATTTCCTAGCTGCCGACGTGGATATGCATCGAGATGTAGTGGCAGTGGACAAAGGTCTCACCCCGCTCTCCCTGGCTATCGAGAACTGGCGCAAACCCGTCGTACTTGACACTAACGCTCGCAGGGAAGTATGGCAGAGCAAGGAGCTTCACGGACGCTTTTTCCGAGCCCTACATGGACCGGATGTAGACCAGGTGGCGTCCGTAGCCTGGCTGCGTTTTGGTGACCTCTTTGGGGAAACCGAAGGGTTTGTCTGTGCAATTATGGACGAAGTTATCATGACGAATAACTACCGGAGATTTATTGTGAAGGACGGCACGGTTGACATCTGTCGGGCATGTCACCGTCCGGGAGAATCAATTCGTCACATAATCTCTGGTTGTTCTCGTCTAGCTAACGGCGAGTACTTGCATAGGCACAACCTTGTAGCCAGAATCATACATCAGCAGCTTGCTCTGAAATACTCTCTTGTGGAATCGGAAGTGCCGTACTACAGGTATGAGCCCGACCCAGTCCTTGATAATGGTCATATCACCTTGTACTGGGACCGGTCTATCATCACTGACAGGACTATTGTGGCCAATAAGCCTGATATTGTGGTGGTGGACCGGAAGGAGAGGCGTGCAATGATTGTTGACATAGCCGTCCCACATGACGAGAACCTTGTGAAAGCCGAGAAAGATAAACTGATCAAGTATATCGACTTGGCTCGCGAGGTTGTCGACATGTGGGAAGTGGATTCAGCTATCATTGTACCGATAGTCGTGTCAGCCAATGGCTTAATAACCAAGAGCCTCGACCAACATCTTAGGAGGCTCTCGTTAGGTGGCTGGATCAAGGGCTTGATTCAGAAAGTGGTACTCCTGGACACGGCTCGTATTGTTAGGAGGTTCCTTTCTCTGGAGCCCTGACCGCCGGTAGCTTGGACCCAGTTCCCGATACCGGTGGGACACTATTTTTTATATTTTTAAATGTTTTTTATTAATTATTTATTTTTAAGAAATATTTAAAAATGTAATTTATATGTTTATATGCTAAATAAAAAAAAAAATGTATATAAATTACCTGCAAAAATTACTATAAGTCCACACAGCTGTTCGGAGCTGGCTCGCAGGTGTAGTACAAGTCATGAGAGGCAGTAGCACAGCCAGCGCTCCATGAGCCAGCACGGAGTCCCGGGTTTGTGGCCCGTCGCCTGCAATGTTGCCTAGTGCCCACGCACTCTGCTCACCCACAACACCACCGCGCGCTAGTAAGGCCACTAGTTTTGGAATCGCACCACCCTGTGTTTAAAAAAGTTTTTTTATTATTATTAAATAAAACTTATTGTCGTGGTGGCCCGGAGGTTAAGCATAATCGAAACCTGGCAAGTACCAATGTGACTTTTTCCGAGTTATATGTACTTACTTTCTATGATTATTTACACACCACTGACATACGGTGAAGGTAAACATCGTGAGGAAACCGAGACTTATAATTTCTAATTATAAGTTTGAAATCGCCAACCCGCATTGAGCAAGCGTGGTGATTAATGCTCAAACCTTCTCCGTGTGAGAAGAGGCCTTTGCTCAGTAGTGGACACTTATGGGCTGATGATGATGATAAAATAAAACGTATGTTGCCCCGCTCTAGGAATTTCTCTTAAGTCGTGAGTGCGTTTACAAACATACCAAATTCATATACAAAAATTACATTATCCATAAATTGTTTGTGTAAAAACAAACAAAGTATTTTTCTATATGCGAATCGTATTTGGGACAGGTCTGACTGTTAAAAGTAACTCTACACCTAATGACAAAGACAGTTAGAAAATGTATCGAAAGGTTTACGACGAACACTGTTTCTGTCCCTGTGCTACAAAAACCGTGATATATGAAAAAAAAACTTACATCAACAACAGCCATGGTATGCTCATGAGTACCGGAAGCGATGTTAGTGAGCGCCCATGCTGCTTCGAACTGGAGGTCTGAACTGAAATAAAAATGATTTTGTTTAATTAGATTTATTTCTTCTACAACTTCGAGATAAGGCTCGTGTAAAGGTACAGCTTGGCTGGGCAGCATATAGGAAACTTAGTCGGGTATTCTCATCAATGATACCGCAAAACCTGAAGAAAAAAGTCTTCAATGAGTGTCAGAGAGCCAAGTTTCGGCACGAATGGGTCGGCTCGACCGGAGTGATACCACGGCATCATAGAAAACCGGCGTGAAACAACCACAACGTTGTGTTTCGCCGTGTGAGTGAGGTTACCGGAGGCCAAATCTTTACCCTACCCCAATCCCATCCCAATCCCTAAATCCCCAAAATCCCAATCCTTAAAAGGTCGGCAACGCACTCGTAACTCCTTCTTTGTTGCGGGTGTCCATGGGCGACGCCGATTGCTTACCATCAGGTAATCCGTCTGCTCGTTTGCCGTCCAATCACATAAAAAAGAAAAAAAAAAGTAAGAATACAGCTTGGCTGAACAGCATATAGGATACTTAGTCGGGTATTCTCATTAATGATACCGCAAAACCTGAAGACAAAGTCTTCAATCAGTGTGAGAGAGCCAAGTTTCGGCACGAAGGGTCGGCTCGACCAGAGTGATAACACGGCCTCATAGAAAACCGGCGTGAAACAACCACAGCGTTGTGTTGTGTTGCCGTATGAGTGAGGTTACCGGAGGCCCAATCCCTCCCCCTTCCACATCCCTTGCCAATCCTTAATAAATATACGAAACCTTTATCCCTAAAAGGCCGGTAAAGCACTCGTAACTCCTTTGGCGTTGCGGTTGTCCATGGGCGGCGCTGATTGCTTACCATCAGGTAATCCGTCTGCTCGTTTGCCGACATAATATATCGGCAAATGCAATGAGGCACCGCGCACATAAAAAAATGCGTCCCAGAGCTAAAACGTGGACACTTACAGTGTGACTGATCCACCAATATAAAGTCGCGCAGCGAGCTGTAGAAAGAGCTATGCTTTGAGTCTCTCTGAAGAATTATTCGAGACGAGGTGATCCGACAGACAATCCGGTAGTTTCCAACTAGTCAAATTCAATACTTTTATCCAAACGTCAAAAACGATACTTTTCTATGAAAAACTGAGTTATGACGTCATAACATTTCTGCGTTAAATAGATTACTTATTTCTTATTAATTAGCTAAAAAAATCTAAAACTTAGTGTATCGATCGTTCGATGAATAAAAGTAAGTATACCTAGTTGTTTTTGACATTTTGGGACGTCGAATTAATTTATTATTGACCTAGAAAACTACCCAATTGGGGAGGCCTATGTCCAGCGCTGGAGGAATTACGCTGCTGCTGCTGCTGCTGATGATGATGATGATTTCTTCGTTTTTTATTTTGTACATCGGCAAAAAAACAAAAGTAGGTACCTATCCCCCTAACAGTGGACAACCAATAGAGGAGTTTTTTGGCATAAAGGTTTTGGAGATTTTAGGATTGGTGAGGGATGGGGTAATGAAAGGATAGAGCCTCCTGTAATCTTAGTAATTGTTTCACGCCGATTTTCTGCCAGGCCGTGGTATCACTCCTGTCAAGCCGGCCTATTTGTCCTTGACTTGTCACTTGAAAGAATTATCAATTTATGATGACCTTAAAATACGTTCTTACCCTAATTACTTTCGAAGTGTAGTGTGACACTCCTCTCTGAAGCCTTTAAAACCTTCTGGTACCAGAGAACATTTAAAACGGCCCTTTTTTATTTAATAGAATACACTAGCAAACAAGCTTACTGAAAATTGATTTCTTTTTTATGTTCTAATCGGCAAACTAGCAAATGGAATACCTGAAAGTAAGCAATCAGCGCTGCTTGTGGTAACGCGGAACATCAGGGAAATTTAATTAGGATGATTGGGGCACTGGTACTACACATAGGCACAGGCACACATTAAGGATATTTCCACATCACAGTTTCAATGAAATCCAGCGTAAAGCAACACTTACGATGTGTTTCACCATTTGAGTGAGATTATCAAAAGAGACCCAATCACCGCTCTACCCCAATCCTTCCCAAATCCCCAAAAGATCAGCATCGGCAAAACAACTATAACTCCTCTGTTGTTGGGCGCGGATTGCTTACCACCAGGAAATCCATCTGCTAGTTTGCAGACTTAGGATATTTCAGTGAAATCATGGCTCTGTATTTAATCCAGACAGACTAATGTTCTTCACAACAACTTACCAATCATCTCTCTCCAGGGCCTGTACTAAAGGTCCAATGACTCCAGCAGCTACCATGGTGCTTATTGGGGGGTTCTGCTCCTTAGACAACATGCGACGAGCAGCGCGCGCCGCCGCTGTCATTGTTGGCAGGTCTTTGGAGCGGAGACCTGGTGGAAGAATGGGAAATAGTTAATTATTGTAACATTTTCTACACTTACCTACCCACAGACTCGATACTAATATTATAAAGAGGTAAAATTTGTAATGTGTATGTTTGTATGGGGTAGGGCATAACCATCCATTCCAAAGCATGACTCTCCCACACTTGGAAAAACTCACATGAGTAAACTCATTTTTTTCCACTAGTCACTCTCACGCAGTTGCACCCATTGCTCGGCTCCCCTTGATAGTAGCGTGATGTTTAATAATCCTATAGCACTCGGGAACATTATAGCTATCTATGAGTGAAAGAATTTTGGAAAACCAACCTGCAGTTTCAAAGATTACAACCCTTACAACTTACAAATTTTTCATCTTTAAAATGTTAGTATAGATAAGTTTACAAACATTGGAATTTTCTTTTGTTATTTGTACGGATGTACATACAATTTATCACACATATCAAACCCAGACCCTGAACAACAATTTTGGATCACACAAAGAAATGAAAAAAAAGACTACTAATATTATGCAACAGACTGTCTCTTGCTAAAGTTGGCCTTCCTACAAATATTAAGCCTTTGACTGCCGACAGAAAACTGTTGAAGGTAAATCCTCCGCTAACGGAGGTCATCGGTGACCCCCATGGCGCTTAACATGTTAAATAACACAACAATTTTAAACCATAAACCTTTATTAGATTTAAATGAAACTGGAACCACACATAAGCTACTTTTAATCTGGAAAAGAAGGTGAACTGCTGACTTAATCGTTTCCTTACCTTGAACAATCTCAGAAGTAGTATATACTTTGACCTCCTCCTCTTGAACTTCCTCTCCTGCCTCAGGGGACAGCGCCCTTCTCTTAAGGAGCTGTTCATCTCTGGCCTGCTTACGGAGAGCCACACTGAGCTCAGCTCGCTTGCGACGGAGATCCTATTGGATACAAAATGCATGAGAAATAATGTCTTCAACACAGAATGACGATTTACCCATCTAAGTTAAAGGGTTTATGTTGCTTGGTAAAAGGGTAACCATGGAGTTTCTTACTCATTTTTCTCGATTTGAATCTACACTTTGGACAAAGCATAGGAAAAATTAGAAAGATGACTGATCAATTATATGATTTATTAGTATTTTCATAGTTTTTCATGGTTCTCATAGAAATAAAATTCAATAAATGTTTCTGGCTGCTACTAATCTGCATTATTGCAAACTTTACAAGTTTCTAGAACCATCAGCTTGTTAATGATACAATTAATGTAAGATACTGTACAATGATCGAAAGACTAACAAGAATTAGTTAGATATTACCCTCTAATCATTGCTTCAAATAATTTAAATTTGATCAGACAAAGAACTAGGAGGTAGAGGATATTTAAGCTGTAATTACAGTTACAACTTTAAAATAACTATTGTTTTACGGCATTTTAGTCAAATAATAAAGATTCCGTCGTCGTTCCGAAAAAAAAACAAAAGAAATTCGAATCATGGTTCGACTAACATGATTTTGAATTTGGAATAAAATTGAAAACTTACAGTTGTTCCTTGGCCAGCATTTTTGTAAGCAGATAAACGTGATGAGTGAGTTTTCTCGGACATGATTATTTTATATAATTTAACAAATTAAATGAAAAGAATATAAATAATATATCTCCGTATCTCGTGTGCACTACAAAATGGAAACTTTTCAAAATGTTCAACGGACGGAAATTGAATTGAATTCGATTCCGTTTGACATTAGGTTTTGTGTTTCCAGTCTTAAAATAACAGTATTGACAGTAGAAGCTTCACATTTTGATCGCATTCATCAGATTTTTATAAGAATGTATGTATTTAAAAGTAAACTAAACTTAAGTTATATGCATTACACCAAAATACACGTACTTTTCATTTTATTATATAAAACATTTGTAAAATTATTCTTTTTTTTTCATTGGCAATAAGGTGTGAAGAATTAAAAAATACTATTTTTTTAAATGTTGGTATTAAAAATTAAGTCAAGGAAAATTATATCGATATTATTGAATTTTGTATTCGAATCGAATCGGAAATAAATAGCGAACTTGCAAATTGTCAATGTCAAAACATGTTTTTGACATAACACCGTATACATTCGCTCACAGTTCTGTGACGCTGAAATCAATCTATGAAAACTTACACGAAGACTTACATGATTCAGTAGTCAAATTATGTAATCATTCATAATTATGTAAAGCAGTTTTCAATCTATAATTATCATTAGCAGTTCAGTCGAATGCTTAACCTTCACTAGGTTTTACCAAATCAAACATGCAATGTACAAGGATGATTTTCAAACCAGTCATTTATAGGCATCATAAATTAATGTAAATGCTAATAACATTGCACAGAATTGTAATTAAAATCAGAAGTACAACGGCGTGTGCTCAATGCATTTTAACATCGTACAAAAATAAGACAACAATAGTCAATTAAAATTTATAAATGCGATGCACACATTTAGTAAACAAGCGTTCGACAAAAAATGGTTTTACAGCTCGAAACTAACTCAATTACGAAGTCAGACAAAGAGTCGACTCTATTATTAATCAAACTGCATTGCGACTGCTTTCGCATCGTATTAATGCAGTCGAGATGAACATCCAAAAAAAAAACAGTACTGAATAAAATAAGAAGAAGTAGGAGGCGCTCGTACGACAGATATTGAGTAGTGGGATGGGCCTAGCATGCGCAAAGACGTATTACTAAAAAAATATTCAGCTTTCCATCGTAATTAATCTATCTATCAGCCGACACTTTCATCTTGCGACCTCATATACGAAACGATCGTAAATTAACGTTATTAAAACAAGTTTACAAGCGTTCATGAACGTGTAATTACGCAAAACGTTACGCCGCTGGGCGTGACATCACAAATCAGTCCGGTCGGGCCGAAGACAACACGTCTATAACCCGTCCTTGTCACTCGTTCATGCTAGACAGAGAAGGCAACAGCAGGCAGGCCGGTGCTGATCGTATTCCGTCGAGGGTGTCGCCATTTTCGTTTTGACGAATATTGACAGCACGGCAGACAGACAGTGGCGCGGTCGTCGACGCAGCGTCTACCGGATTATTTTTATTTTGATAGTGAATCATTTAACGACCAGACTACGTTCTCTGGCTAGTTACGCGTCGGTTTGCAATAAAAACTCTATTTACTACAACAGTGACGAGTGATAGACGTTTAGTTGACGAATTTTGGTGCTAACCTCTTCATTCTTTTTTTTTCCTCCCGTCAGTGTTTTTGAGAACTGCAAGGCTGATCGATATGTGCAAGATTTACCACAGATGACTCTGCGTTACTCAACCTCGTGTTGATTTCTTCTGGTAAGTCGCTTTGAATATTGTTCTTTGATAGTATTGGAGTCGATAATTGTCCGCGTTCGATAAAATATACTAGATTGGACGCATTATCGGTTTCATACATAATATTATTCAGCGTACACTTAATATTTACAGTGTGAAATGACAGTCGCCCTTTGTTGCGGTAGCTCCAGTTTGTTTACGAACTGTCAGGGGCAGTACACGGCCTAAGATATATTGCCTGGGTTGGCGACTATGCGTGGGCTATGCGCGCACGCGAAAACCTACTTTACCGCAAGCGGCATAAGGTCGAAACTGTCGTAATTTGTAGAACGATAACGGCCCGTAGAATTAATTTATCACACGCCGCGCTTGACAAGTTGAAAACATAAATTCGACCTTGGCGCTCCACGTGGTTTGCAAGCTTTGTGCTTTCTTCTTTGTTTGACATTTGACATTGTTATCGATTTTTTTATCGATTCATTTTTTTTTGTATACAGTTGGCAGAAGTGTATCCGTATGGAAATGTCAAAAAGTGAAAGTAGTGAATAGTATTTCGATTTTCGAAAATTAATAATTAATTTTCGAAAATTTCTCGTTAGGTAATTATTTAATTTTTACTCTACCGTATGTCGTATGTTATGTCTTCGAATTGTTGATGAATCGACAAATAACCGGTGTCTGGTGAATAAAAAACAATACACTTATCATCTTTTGCAGTATTATCGTACGTAATATTATCATTTTCGTAATTATTACCGGATGTTTTGATAAATTGAGGTGATTATAAAAAAAATGTAATCTCATAATCTACTTAATTTAAGTTCCTTCTAATAATCTTTTGTTTAAGAACTATTCACTTCAAATATTTGCACAATAAAGTATTTATCTACAAAACTATTGAATACACTGAAACTAGACGTTGGGCTTGGCTTTACTAGGGTGCTATTTCCTGATTTTTTTAAATTTCGAATAAAAAAGCGATTTTACAATATGGCGCTTTTAACCATTTGATTGTCTTTTTTTTCTTGAAGAAGGAATATAATAAAATTTCTTTCGCCCTAGTTGAACAATAGTGTGTGTCAGACTCTTGCTGACTGAAAACAAACCCATTCATCTCCTCTGAACTAGACTGCCGTACAATACAGCATTTGCATTTGCAACCCCAGCTGTAAAGTCTAGGAAGTGCACAGGCATAAATTAAAGGGTTCCAATATTAATTGATGGATAAAAAAAAAAGTGCTGTAGATTACATTATAACCAAATACTAATTTTAAGTCTGCCAGACAATCATGTAACTAAAAATTATAAGTATTAAAAGTTTAGCATAAATCATTTATATCTATACTTACTAATATTATAAAGAGGTAAAATTTGTAAGTTTGTATGTAGTGATTACCATCATTGAAACCGCTGGTTGGATTGCCAAAATTCTTTCACTGAAAACACACGAGAGTAGCTGGTCAGAAATAATTTGATTCTTTTTAATCACAAATGGATGATTTAAGTATTTTCTAGAAATAATTTAAATCTCAAATGGATAAATAAATAATTGACTTAATATTTTTATTTTAATTGAATAATTTGCAATTTTTTTTTTTGTAGAATTGAAGACTTAGTGACAAAGTCATTATCTTCCAGTCTTTGTTAGGGTGTTACAGAGAGAGGTTATTTATTACTCAAGTGTGTTAAGGTAATGCAGGTTGCCAGACAACCTTTCAATTTACAGGCAATTGATAAAAGTTTGATTTGATTTAATTTTAAAGAAAATATGGAAACTACTAGACATTTTAATCAAAATCTATCTAATTAAGATTATGTTTTGGCCATTCCCGGGTTATTTTTATCCAAAGGAAGCAATCAGCCTGTGTTATAAGAATGCCAATGGCACACTCTAGCTATGTCTCCTGATTTTACTTTTTGCAAATTCATTTATTTATTCATGCTCAAAAAAATTTACAAAGTTGTTATAAATTTGTGATAAAAATGACTATTCTCCCGCGGTTTCACCCGCTGCTCGGCTCCATTTGATCGTAGCGTGATGTTTTATAGCCTATAGCACTTAGGAATATTATAGCTATCTATCAGTGAAAGAATTTTGGAAATCCGATCAGCGGTTCCAAAGATTACCTCCTTCATACAAACTTACAAGTTTTACCTCTTTATAATATGTCTTTATCAAAATAGTTTAGTAGCTTTGTTTCTTCCCTTATCTCTAGCCATTTGGGGTCAGCACCTCTCCCATTCTTCATTCAAAAAAGTCGCACCTGTAGGTACTTGCCAGATTTTAAATTGAGGCTGGGCTTGAGCATCCATCTCTCTGACCAACCATGACTGGCTATATCTACAACAATTCTAACATATTCCATTCACTCCATTCTGATTATGATAGTGCTTAACAAGCTACTGTATCAGACGAGAGGGAGTGTCAGACTCTTATTAACTAAAGATGACTACATTTCATATCCAGGCTCTCCTACTCCATGCATCAACCCTAGTGGGCACTATCTGGGGTGGTCTAAGGCTTTTTGAATTGCGCGATACGCTTGAGTCTAATTCTGGTACGCGGTGAGCTACCCTTGCTCGCTATCCGAAGACCCACGCTTATGGCTTAGCATTTTTTTGGGGAGGGGAAATCATCAAATGACTTCTCCCACCCAGGGTGAAGTGAGGGGTAGTGGCAGTCTTATTGACTGAAATCCGCCATTCCTTCTCCTGCTTTAGCCCAAGGCCGCGGTACCTTATTGCGCTTGCCAAGAAACCCCAGCTGAACATCATAGGGCCTCAGCCCTATAGGGTCCCGTCTGTGGTGGTCTATTGGCTCTTTGAGGCGCGCGCGGATCGCTACGCGCCTTACCCGAGCGGTCTGGTTATGGCCGGGCGGTGAGCCACCCTTATCCGCCATCAGACCTTGGCTTGGAAGAATAAGGCTTGCGGCTTAGCACATCGGATACTTTTTTCACATAAACTCAGGCAAAACCGCTCACAGAAGTAGCAAAGTTACTTAAGTACAATTTGTATCAATTTATGTCACTGACGTCAAATAGAGATATGCGTGTATCTTGTTTCAATCTAATCATAACATTATTGAATGTTATTGACCATTGATTGGTATCGTATGAAATCTGATCAAGACTAGGTCGTCTTGCAATGAAGCTAGAAGTTACCGAAAGTATTATAAGTGAATGGGCCGACTCGACCGGAATGATACCACGGCCTCACAGAAAACTGGCGTGAAACAACCACGACGTTGTGTTTAGCCGTGCGAGTGAGGTTACCGGATGTCCAAACCTTCATCCCCTTCCCCAATCCCTATATCCCTTAACCCCTAATCCCCAAAAAAAGGTCGGCAACACACTCTTAACCCTTTCAAAGTTGCAGATGTCTATGGGTGGCACTGATTCCTTACCATAAGGTAATCATGAACACACAAAAAATACTAGCTTATTACACCCAGATTAGACCACATGGTGTTCCTGTGAATGCCCTAAGTATTCCCAATCATTGCGTATTAATTGGAAATCACAGTTTAAAAGGTTCAGATCTATCAGAAATGGCTGCTGCCAGTTCTCTGTCAAACCTCCTTAATCGAGTTCTTAACATATTCAGGGGAAGGATACCAGTGTTGGAATGTATTCTATTATGCCATTATCACTCAGCTTCATACAGGTCTTTTCCAGAATTTTTTAACGCCTTTTAAGTGGTGAAAAATGGACGTGCCCTTAAGGCGGCTTCTCATGTATGAGAGTTTGAAACCTGGCACGTACCAATGGGACTTTTCCCAGTTATATGTAGATACTTTCTATGATTATTTAGACACCACTGACATACGGTGAAGGAAAACATCGTGAGGGAACCTGAACTTGAGCACGCGTGGTGGTTAGTGCTCAAACCTTCTCAGTGTGAGAAGAGGCCTTTGCTCAACAGTGGGCACTAGTAAGCTGATGATTATGATGATAATAAGGTCACTTCTTACACTTCAGAGGAAAAACAAAAATATTGGTAATGTTAATAAAATGTTTTGACGTTGCTTATTTATAATCCGAAATTTTTTTTATCAATACACTGCAGCATTTTTTCAAAGATTATTTTCCTATCTATCCAAATTAAGCTCTGTAATCTGAAAAAAAAAATGCTTTAAGACTCGCCTTAAATTTGTTAAGAAGGTAATCTTGTTTGTTGTTGCTAAAACACCTGAATTGATGGACAGAATTTGATGTTATTTAGTACAGACTACAAATTCTTTGGAATTCTGGAATGGGTGACGGGAGTTATTAAAGAAAGGGGTGAAAGTATTCAGAAGATATACATAGAAAGGGGAGGGGTGATATAAAATATAAAAAAAGCAATTGTTTTGTCTGTTTTCTTAATTTTCGTACACACAGATCCATATTTTTTATTTGACAAACAATTATAGGCAAAGACCTGTGTAGAGATCGGTAACGCAGTTTCATTATAATATAGGATACCTAATTGTAGTAATGCAGCAAACACAAAAAAAAATGAGAGACATATTTACGAGACCAGGACATTTTAAGTTTAACCTCCAGGTTAAGCGATCGATATCAAAGTCAGTAATTTCAATTAATCCATAAACAGCCGATCTTGCAACGCCACAACTGAATTTCTCTTTTAGTTTTGAATACCTAGTGACTTTTATGAGACACACTTGATTTATTGAAAATAACGATTAAAAACGTGAATTGACTGGGAAAAGCCCTACTATGTGGTTTCAACACATAACGGATTCCTATTATAAGCAGAATAGACATCGCGTCGACGTGTAAGTTTATATTTTCAGTTAATAGAGTTTCTTGTCTGCCTATCCATCAGCTAGGCGCTCGCTCCCAAAACAAACCAAACTAGCGAAAAGCTAATAAACTTAAAATACACCATTGCTTAACCCTTTCACGTCAAAAAGGCGTAAGTATGTTGTTTAAAAATCCCTTTACAGATCGCCCCCTAAAACCGAGCCGATACAAAAACGGACTTACTATACTCAAAAAATAAATATTTGCAAGGCT